CAGACAGACAGACAGACACAGACAGACACAGACAGACAGTCAGACAGACAGACAGACAGACAGACACAGACAGTCAGACAGACACACACAGTCAGACAGACAGACACACAGACACAGACAGACAGACAGAGACACAGGCAGAGACACACAGACAGACACACAGACACAGACAGACAGACACAGACAGACAGACAGACACACACAGTCAGACAGACAGACAGACACACACAGTCAGACAGACAGACACACAGACACAGACAGACAGAGACAAACAGTCAGACAGACAGACAGACAGACAGACACACACAGTCAGACACAGACAGACACACAGACAGAGACTTAGACACAGACAGACAGACAGAGACACAGGCAGAGACAGACACACACAGTCAGACAGACAGACACACAGACAGACAGAGACTTAGACACACACAGACAGACAGAGACTTAGACACAGACAGACAGACACAGACAGTCAGACAGACAGACAGACACAGACAGACACAGACAGTCAGACACAGTCAGACAGTCAGACACAGTCAGACAGACAGACACAGACAGACAGACCGACACAGTCAGACAGACACACAGACAGACACACACAGTCAGACAGACACAGACAGACACAGACAGACAGTCAGACACACAGACAGACAGACAGACAGACAGACACAGACAGTCAGACAGACACACACAGTCAGACAGACAGACACACAGACACAGACAGACAGACAGAGACACAGGCAGAGACACACAGACAGACACACAGACACAGACAGACAGACACAGACAGACACACACAGTCAGACAGACAGACACACAGACACAGACAGACAGAGACACACAGTCAGACAGACAGACAGACAGACAGACACAGTCAGACACAGACAGACACACAGACAGAGACTTAGACACAGACAGACAGAGACACAGGCAGAGACAGACACACACAGTCAGACAGACAGACACACAGACAGACAGAGACTTAGACACACACAGACAGACAGACAGAGACTTAGACACAGACAGACAGACACACACAGACAGACAGACAGACAGAAGACAGAGAGACACACACAGTCAGACAGACATAGACGGACAGACAGACACTTTAATGATCCCTGTAGGAGAAAAACACATCCAAACAAACAAACAAAACAAATAAAAACTTAATTCTAAAAGTATCAACATTATTATTAAAACACAACAGCACTTTAGGTCACAGCAGCAGATTTCACTTAAAATATCAACATTAGGTTAAACTGTCATTTTCAATTACATTACAGAGCTCATTCATGCTAACAATGCTAACATAATTTATGCTATCATTTATGCTAACATCATTAATGCTAACATCAAATGGTACTGACGTCATGCTCTGCTGGGATCAGTTTATCCACTGATTGATCTAATTCACCTTTATTTCCACACTGGGTTCAAAGCCCTGTTGAAAAGGAAGGACTTTAAACGTGATCTTTGCAGAGTCGTCCTGAAGTTTTATTCTCATCTTTACAGTTTTTCAGACAGAATGAAGACAGAGCAGGTGTTAGTCACAACGACAGAGACAAACTGAAGTCTCCGTGACCGTAAAGGCCGGTCTCCACTGGAGGATTTAGTCCCGTGTCCATTTTGTGAGGACCGGTTCTGACCTGTTTACGTGGATACTGTGGCGCCCCCTACAGTCCCAGGAGCAGAGGTGGAAAACTGGTTCTAGTTCTAGTTTCAACCCGAGCAGGAGCAGAACAGACTCCGCCCATTTCCTCAGGTCTTCAGGTTTAAACAGGTCAAGTGCGCTGACATGTCTGGCTCCTTGCCGGTGGGGGTGTACAGGAAACAGAATTTTCCAATGAATTCCTATGGTGCCTTTTTTCTTCTCAAAAACTCTTAAAAAGCATATCTCTTTCGATGCTGAGGGGAGGACTTTGTACCGCTGTGAGCTTGGAATGAACGTGTTTTTATCAGACTGGATCCAGCTAACGCATGCGCAAAAGTGTTTTTTCACATTTTCCTGTGGGAGGGGCTGCTCACGGCCATTTTGAAAAGGTCCGTGTTGATGTCACATACATGTCAACAGAGGAAACAGGCGTCGCTACGTCATATTTACAGTCTATGTTAAAACCACTGCAAAATTTTAACAGTCGTAGTCTAGACTGGGCCACAGACATGCACTCCCCTCAGAGAGATCTGGAACCAAGAGGACCAAGAACCACTTTTGGACCAAGAACCACTTTTAGACCAAGAACCACTTTTGGACCAAGAACCACTTTTGGACCAAGAGCCACTTTAGGACCAAGAGCCACTTTTGGACCAAGAACCACTTTTGGACCAGAAGCCACTTTTGAACCAAGAACCACTTTTGGACCAAGAGCCACTTTTGGACCAAGAACCACTTTAGGACCAAGAACCACTTTTGGACCAAGAGCCACTCTTGGACCAAGAACCACTTTAGGACCAAGAACCACTTTAGGACCAAGAACCACTTTTGGACCAAGAGCCACTTTTGGACCAAGAACCACTTTTGGACCAAGAGCCACTTTTGGACCAAGAACCACTTTAGGACCAAGAACCACTTTTGGACCAAGAGCCACTTTTGGACCAAGAACCACTTTAGGACCAAGAACCACTTTTGGACCAAGAGCCACTTTTGGACCAAGAACCACTTTAGGACCAAGAACCACTTTAGGACCAAGAACCACTTTTGGACCAAGAGCCACTTTTGGACCAAGAACCACTTTAGGACCAAGAACCACTTTTGGACCAAGAGCCACTTTTGGACCGAGAACCACTTTTGGACCAAGAGCCACTTTTGGACCAAGAACCACTTTAGGACCAAGAACCACTTTAGGACCAAGAACCACTTTTGGACCAAGAGCCACTTTTGGACCAAGAACCACTTTTGGACCAAGAACCACTTTTAGACCAAGAACCACTTTTGGACCAAGAACCACTTTTGGACCAAGAACCACTTTTAGACCAAGAACCACTTTTGGACCAAGAACCACTTTTGGACCAAGAGCCACTTTAGGACCAAGAGCCACTTTTGGACCAAGAACAACTTTTGGACCAGAAGCCACTTTTGGACCAAGAACCACTTTTGGACCAAGAGCCACTTTTGGATCAAGAACCACTTTAGGACCAAGAACCACTTTAGGACCAAGAGCCACTTTTGGACCAAGAACCACTTTAGGACCAAGAACCACTTTAGGACCAAGAACCACTTTAGGACCAAGAGCCACTTTTGGACCAAGAACCACTTTTGGACCAAGAGCCACTTTTGGACCAAGAACCACTTTAGGACCAAGAACCACTTTTGGACCAAGAGCCACTTTTGGACCAAGAACCACTTTAGGACCAAGAACCACTTTTGGACCAAGAGCCACTTTTGGACCAAGAACCACTTTTGGACCAAGAACCACTTTTGGACCAAGAGCCACTTTTGGACCAAGAACCACTTTAGGACCAAGAACCACTTTTGGACCAAGAGCCACTTTTGGACCAAGAACCACTTTAGGACCAAGAACCACTTTTGGACCAAGAGCCACTTTTGGACCAAGAACCACTTTTGGACCAAGAGCCACTTTTGGACCAAGAACCACACTTTAGGACCAAGAACCACTTTTGGACCAAGAACCACTTTTGGACCAAGACCCACTTTAGGACCAAGAACCACTTTTGGACCAAGAACCACTTTTGGACCAAGAACCACTTTAGGACCAAGAACCACTTTTGGACCAAGAGCCACTTTTGGACCAAGAACCACTTTTGGACCAAGAGCCACTTTTGGACCAAGAACCACTTTAGGACCAAGAACCACTTTTGGACCAAGAGCCACTTTTGGACCAAGAACCACTTTAGGACCAAGAACCACTTTTGGACCAAGAACCACTTTTGGACCAAGAGCCACTTTTGGACCAAGAGCCACTTTTGGACCAAGAACCACTTTTGGACCAAGAACCACTTTTGGACCAAGATCCACTTTTGGACCAAGAACCACTTTTGGACCAAGAGCCACTTTTGGACCAAGAGCCACTTTTGGACCAAGAACCACTTTTGGACCAAGAGCCACTTTTGGACCAAGAACCACTTTTGGACCAAGAGCCACTTTTGGACCAAGAGCCACTTTTGGACCAAGAGCCACTTTTGGACCAAGAGCCACTTTTGGACCAAGAACCACTTTTGGACCAAGAACCACTTTTGGACCAAGAACCACTTTTGGACCAAGAGCCACTTTTGGACCAAGAGCCACTTTTGGACCAAGAACCACTTTTGGACCAAGAACCACTTTTGGACCAAGATCCACTTTTGGACCAAGAACCACTTTTGGACCAAGAGCCACTTTTGGACCAAGAGCCACTTTTGGACCAAGAACCACTTTTGGACCAAGAGCCACTTTTGGACCAAGAACCACTTTAGGACCAAGAACCACTTTTGGACCAAGAGCCACTTTTGGACCAAGAGCCACTTTTGGACCAAGAGCCACTTTTGGACCAAGAGCCACTTTTGGACCAAGAACCACTTTTGGACCAAGAGCCACTTTTGGACCAAGAACCACTTTTGGACCAAGACCCACTTTAGGACCATCCTGTAAAGTGGATTTCCAGAAAAAAGAAGATACTATACATTAGCATTGGCTAATTCTTATTCCGGGTCCACCCCCACAGGCCCGGGGTGGTATTGCAGCCTGTCAGCGCACGTCATTTTAGACATGTTTAAAAATGACGTTCATGTTTAAAACTGAAAGGGCTCAGGGGCAGAGTTCAGTTCAGTTTAGATTAGCAGCTGGTCTTGTTCGTGACGTCAGCACCGGGGCCTCCTCCTGACCCTGAAGGTGAAGTCTGAGCTCATACATGTTCTGGAGACGCTGATGACGCTGAACAAACTGGAATTAAAAATGTTTGAACAGTTGCAGTGAACATCTTTGTGACAAAAACAATGGAGCTCTGTACGAACCTCACACTGAGCGCTCTGTCCGACTGCGAGAGGCCTCCCACCGCCGCGGCATGACCACAGCTGCACCGCCACGCCCACAGCTGCACCGCCACGCCCACAGCTGCACCGCCACGCCCACATCTGCACCGCCACGCCCACAGCTGCACCGCCACGCCCACAGCTGCACCGCCACGCCCACAGCTGCACCGCCACGCCCACAGCTGCACCGCCACGCCCACATCTGCACCGCCACGCCCACAGCTGCACCGCCACGCCTACTGCCATTCTGTGTGTGTGTCTGCGTATCAGTGTGTGTGTCAGTGTGTATGCTCATGTTTAAGTATGTTTAAATGTGTGTGTAAGTGTGTGTAAGTATGTGTAAGTGTGTGAGTGTGTGTAAGTATGTGTAACTGTGTGAGTGTGTTTGTGTGTAAATCTGTGTGTGTGTGTGTATGTGTAAATGTTTGTGTAAGTGTGTGTGTGTGTGTGTGTGTAAGTATGTGTAAATGTGCGTGTGTGTCTGTGTGTGTGCTCATGTGTAAGTATGTGTAAGTGTGTGTGTGAGTGTGTAAGTGTGTGTAAGTATGTGTAAGTGTGTGTGCTCATGTGTAAGTGTGTGTGCACTTGTTTTCAACTCCTGGTGGGTTCCATAACCTGAGATTCCACTCACGTCATGGGGACTGGTTTTACGTGGTGGGGCCCGAACACCGGACCCCACTGGTCCAAGCTTAATAATCAATGGGTAATGCTTTTCTAACGGTCCTTATGCAGTTTCTGTAAAAATATGGAAAGGACCCCTGGAGGTTTACTTTCCTGAAAAAAGTGTGTTATGTGTCGGAACCCTGGTGGTGGGTTGCGGGATATCAAGGAGGGGCACACTGGGGCAATTTCAGTCCAGCAGGCTGGAGCCAATCATGGAGCAGCACAACAGAGGAAATCAGGTGTCAGGCTAGAAAAAAGGTGCAAGTGTGTGGTTCATTAGGCTGCAAGAAATCATGGAGGAGCACACTGAAGCGCACGCTTACAAACCACTGGTAAGTGCTGACTACAAGTCATGACTTCAAATTGTTATATAGAATGATTACAAATTATTTGTTGTTTGTGCAGCTTAGTCAAGAGTCCCTAATTGATGAAGTCGACTCAGATTCTGACGATTTAACAGTCAAGAAGAAACCTGTAAAAAAGTATGGAAAAAGAAAAATCAAAAACACTTTTCTTCAAGACTCGGAAAGTGACGAACCAAAGGCAAATAAGATTGTTATCATGCAGCTGCAAAAGAAGAAAAATGGGGGGCGAGTATACAGCAAGAGACACTTCTGCCTCTACTGTTCAATGTCCTGCCACAAAATGTCCCGTCATTTGACTAGAAAACATGGAAATGAAAGTGACGTAGCCAGAGCATTGGCTCTACCTGTGAAATCTAAAGCACGTAAACTTCAGTTTGATTTGATCAGGAATAGTGGAAACCGTGAGCACAATTTTGAGGTTTTAAAGGCCGGCATTGGAACTTTAGTCCCAGCTAAACAGCCAAATTCCCCAGTTAAATCCAGTGAGTTTTTGCACTGTATAGACTGTGGGGCATTGCTTAAGCGAAAGTCGCTGTGGAGGCATGTGGCCAGGTGCCGGCTTTCACAGAAAGATGCCCAGGCTAAACCAGGTAGAAGTAGGGTCCAGTCCCTCTGCTCCCTAGCCCAGCCTGTACCGGAGGGCATCAGCAAAAAGCTGTGGTCTTTAATTTCGGCAATGCATCAGGATGAGGTCACGGGTGTTGTCAAAGCAGAAAAGGGGATTCTGAGACTCGGAGAGCACCTGTACTTAAAACACGGGCATGATAAGACAAAGCATGATTACATTAGGCAGAAAATGAGAGAAGTCGGTAGGTTAATTAACGAAGCAAAAACCGCAGGGAAACTGAAAACAATTAAGGATTTCTTTATTCCTTCCAACTTTAACCATGTGATTGATGCAGTCAGGTCTGTGGCTGGATATGATGAGGAAACAAATCAATACAAGACTCCATCCTTGGCCCTCAAACTCGGCCATAGCCTCAGAAAGCTAGCAGATATTCTTGAATGTGACTCAAAAATGGAGCATTGTGTTGATGAACTATTTATTAAAAACCTCCAACGAAGCCGGCTGCTTTTTGAGAAGAGGTGGGACGTCTGTGTTTCTTCTGCTGCCCTACAGACCCTCCGGCAAGCCAAGTGGAACACTCCGGACCTGCTCCCTCTGACTGAGGACGTTAGAGCCATGCATGCACATATTGAGGTATGTCGACCTGAATATGTGCAAACCCTAATAAGTGAGCCAACGTCTAATCATTGGTCTAAACTGGCAGTTTTGACTCTTTGTGAGGTCATCATTTTCAATCGAAGAAGGGAAGGTGAGGTTTCAAAGATGCCACTGACAGCCTTTACCTTAAGAAGTAAGACTGGGATCCATTCTGACATTGCTCTGGGACTGTCCCAACTTGAGAAAAAGCTGTGTCAGCATTTTCAACGCATTGAAATCAAAGGGAAAAGAAGTCGGAAAGTGCCGGTTCTTTTGACTCCTGAAATGATTGCTTCGATGGAGGTGCTGGTGGAGAACAGAAGGGCCTGTTCCATCTCTGACCATAACCCATACTTCTTTTCCCGCCCGGGCGCAGACACCCACATCAGGGGATCAGACTCCCTACGCCAGGTAGCCAAAGAATGTGGTGCGGTGCATCCAGAGATGCTATCCTCAACCAAACTTAGAAAGCACATAGCTACTATGTCTACAGTTCTCAATATGAAAGAGAATGAGATGGACATACTTGCCAACTTCCTCGGCCATGACATTCGCATCCACAGGCAATATTACAGACTACCAGAGGGGACACTGGAGCTGGCCAAAATCAGCAAAGTGTTGATGGCCATGGAGCAGGGAAGAGTGACGGAATTCGAAGGAAAGAGCCTCGACCAGATACAAATTGAGCCTGAAGGTAATTCTTGATATTATTAAAATATGTATGATTTTTTTCCCCTAAAGGCCACTTGTATTTTTATTTTCTGTGCAACAGGGAGAGCAGTAGAGATCCTCTCACAAACGGACGGGCTAAAAGAAACTTCAAGCGGAGAACCTTCAACCATTCATCCAGATGCACCCCATGGTAGTGGCAGTGCCCCTTCTGGTAAGTGTACCAGGTGGGGGATTACAGCCAGGCTGCTTGGTCCTCACCCTGGGAGTGTATATTGCTAATATATTTTTATTTCTCTCCCTAGAACGTGTAAGAAAGCCATGGTCTGCATCTGAGGTGAAGGCTGTGGAGAAGACCATGACACCTTTCATACAGACTGGAAAGGTCCCTGGGAAGTCTCACTGCCTGGCCTGCATTAATGCCTCACCAGATGACCTTAGACATCGGACATGGAGTGGCATTAAATTCTATGTCAAAAATAGAATCACTGCAATTCAAAAACAAAATCTAAAATAAAATTCCTTTAAAATAGTTGTTTGGTTTCTATTGACTGTTTTGTATTACTTAAAGTCTTGGTAAAAAAAGATTATGTCTATGGGTCCCATTCTGAACGGCCCTGTCAAAGGGACCCACCAGGTAACAAAAACGTGTATGTGTGTGTAAGTGTGTGTGTGTAAGTATGTGCAGCCCCCTCAGTTATGCTCGAGCGAGGCCCAGAGTAGGCAGATCATTAGAGCCTGTGACGACCAGAGGAATGTAGACCCAGGACTGAGACTGTAGACCCAGGACTGAGACTGTAGACCCAGGGCTGAGGCTGTAGACCCAGGACTGAGACTGTAGACCCAGGACTGAGGCTGTAGACCCAGGACTGAGGCTGTAGACCCAGGACTGAGACTGTAGACCCAGGACTGAGGCTGTAGACCCAGGACTGAGGCTGTAGACCCAGGACTGAGACTGTAGACCCAGGACTGAGACTGTAGACCCAGGACTGAGGCTGTAGACCCAGGACTGAGACTGTAGACCCAGGACTGAGGCTGTAGACCCAGGACTGAGGCTGTAGACCCAGGACTGAGACTGTAGACCCAGGACTGAGGCTGTAGACCCAGGACTGAGGCTGGACCACAAACACACACACACACACAAACAGACACACACACACAAACACACACACACAAACACACACACATACACAAACACACACACACAAACAGACACACATACACAAACACACACACACACAAACACACACACACAAACAGACACACACACACAAACACACACACACAAACAGACACACACACACAAACAGACACACATACACAAACACACACACACACAAACACACACACACAAACAGACACACACACACAAACACACACACACAAACAGACACACACACACAAACACACACACACAAACAGACACACACACACAGTTTGAGGTCCTAAAATGTCACAATAGAGAAAAGTCGACTGTGATCAACAAAAACAAAGAAAAGTAGGAAATAAAGTATGAAAAAGTAAAATAAATGTTTGTGTGAAGCCAGGTCTCTGTATAGAAAGTGTCCTGGATTTGTCACCATGGGTTAAAATCACATAATCACATAATCATAACGATCCTTTCTCCTCAGACATTTTGTTTTGGTCACATTCTTGAGCACAGACCGTGGTGGAAGTGGTCTCTCATTTACATAACTTCATTCTGCTCAAATCTAATGTCAATAAATCATGGTTTCTTCTTCTTCTTCTTCTTCTCCTCATGGTTTCTTCTTCTTCTTCTCCTCATGGTTTCTTCTTCTCCTCATGGTTTCTTCTTCTTCTTCTTCTCCTCATGGTTTCTTCTTCTTCTCCTCCTCATGGTTTCTTCTTCTCCTCCTCATGGTTTCTTCTTCTCCTCCTCATGGTTTCTTCTTCTTCTTCTCCTCATGGTTTCTTCTTCTTCTCCTCCTCATGGTTTCTTCTTCTCCTCCTCATGGTTTCTTCTTCTCCTCCTCATGGTTTCTTCTTCTTCTTCTCCTCATGGTTTCTTCTTCTTCCTCTCCTCATGGTTTCTTCTTCTTCTTCTCCTCATGGTTTCTTCTTCTTCTTCTCCTCATGGTTTCTTCTTCTTCTTCTCCTCATGGTTTCTTCTTCTTCTTCTTCTCCTCATGGTTTCTTCTTCTTCTCCTCCTCATGGTTTCTTCTTCTCCTCCTCATGGTTTCTTCTTCTCCTCCTGATGGATTCTTCTTCTTCTTCTTCTTCTTCTTCTTCTTCTTCTCCTCCTGATGGATTCTTCTTCTCTTGTGTCCAGTCCACATCCAGACGTGCCGCGCCCTGATGGTGATCTCCGTGTTACTGGGCTTCATGGGAATCATCATCAGTGTGGTGGGAATGAAGTGTACGAAGGTGGGCGACGACAACCCCACCACCAAGACACGCATCGCTGTCACCGGAGGAGCCCTGTTTCTGCTGGCAGGTAGGACCCTGTTTCTGCTGCAGGTAGGACCCTGTTTCTGCTGCAGGTAGGACCCTGTTTCTGCTGCAGGTAGGACCCTGTTTCTGCTGCAGGTAGGACCCTGTTTCTGCTGCAGGTAGGACCCTGTTTCTGCTGGCAGGTAGGACCCTGTTTCTGCTCTCTTGGTCCAGAACCAGACTCAGCAGAGAAACACACAAAGACCCTTTAATGTTTTCCCCAAATATTTGGTGGATCACATTTTGAGTTTCTATCTCGACTCGAATCTTGGATCTGAGTTCAACCTGGAGAGACTTTGAGGAGACAAAATGCATTTGAAATTTTTTATTGAAGGTAGTTTGGCGCCCTAGGCCCCGGTGCGGCGTTCAGTCAGCGAGGCTCCTGCGAGAGTGCGCGCACAATCCCCCGGGACCTAGGCACTGGTGGCGGCATTCGGGCAGCAGGAAGAGGCATGATGAGGCAGGGTGAGAAGGGGGGAGGAGGGGAGGCGGTGGTTTGCAAGGCTTCGAGAAGGCTGTAAAGTGGGAGTTTCTCCACTTTTAAGCGGCTGGCCTGGCCGGCATAGGTTGGTTGGAAATGGGCGTTTGCTGCGATAGGCTGGGGATGCGAGGCCGGCCTGGAAGGGGTGGCTTTGGCTGACGTCTTCCAAATTGAATTTCCGCGAGGCTGCATTTCAACCTGGAGAGACTTTGAGGAGACAAAATGCATTTGAAGTTTTTTATTGAAGGTAGTTTGGCGCCCTAGGCCCCGGTGCGGCGTTCAGTCAGCGAGGCTCCTGCGAGAGTGCGCGCACAATCCCCAAAAGGCTGTGCGTTTGATGGAGTTTTAGGCAGGCCTGGTTAGCAGGGGACGTCGTACGTGCACCGCTATATATAAAGGCAACACTATTTATAAAGGCAACACTATTTATAAAAGCAACACTATTTATAAATGCACCGCACGCTATATATAAAGGCAACACTATTTATAAAGGCACCGCTATATATAAAGGCAACACTATTTATAAAGGTAACACTATTTATAAATGCACAGCTGCTGCCGCCACCAGGGAGTTTTGCAAGTGCTTATGGGGATGCCAATAGACGCTGGGCTGGTGGAGGATGGACAGTGTGATGCCTGTGGTCCGAGGAATGAGGGGTGCAGTTGTGAATGCCTTTGATGACGAGTTTGATCGAATAGAGAGGAGAAAGCGGGGTTGTGACAGCGGGCCTGGAATTGGATCCCGGCGAGAAGAGAGCGAATGTAAGATCTTGTAGAGGAGATTGTCCGCACAGTGAACTATGAAGGCGCAGATGGTACATACAGAGGGCGGAATTAGGGGAATGCTGTGAGCGTAGCAAAAGCGGGAGTAGACTTTTCAAGCAAAGCAGTAAGATTTCAGCGTGGAAAGTGAGAGGCCCATTTTCATGTAGGATGACGCGGAGGAGAAAAGAAGGTGAAGAGACGGTGGGACTAGTTCAGGGCGAGGGATTCCATGGCGTTGAATTGGCAGAGTGGCAGAGGCGTCAGAACTCCTGGAATTTAAAGCGAGAGAGACAGTCAGCAATACAGTTAAGGTGACCAGGGACGTGACGAGCAGTGCTGATAAAATTATTTAGGACTGAGAGCCATGTGATGCGTCTGAGGAAAGACATGACTTGGGGAGAGGACGAACGACCTCTGTTAATTATTTCTAACGTGTCGAGATTGACACACATCACGGAAATCCTTTTCTGTGCCACGTGTGGCTCCACAGCACGCAGGCTACGGCCACGGGATATATTTCATGGAGTGCGGAGGAGATGCTTCGAGGGAAGGAGTCGGGCCAGGGCCCGGCGAACCACTGGTCCTGGAAAAAACCCCCAAAACCCACGGACGGGGCTGCGTCCGTGAAGAAACGCAGGGCATCTGAGGACAGGATGACGTCGCTGTAGAAGAGATACACCGTTCCAGCGGCTCAGCGGACAGGACCAGAACGCCAGGTCGGAGCGGCACCCAGCGTTCAGGCAGACAGCATCATTGAGGGAGGGGACGGAGCCAGCGAGGGAGAGGAGCCTGGAAATAAAAGAACGACCCTGAGGGATGATACGGATGGCATCATTGAGGTGCCCGAGGAGGGAGAGCAGCTGACGCTTCGAAAGTGACGGAGAGGACAAGGCAGACCAGGAGAAGCGCGGATGCGCCCAAGCTTGTCCAGCGGGAGGGAGGCCTCCACGGCGCGCGTGACGAGGCGGATGCCGAGAACTCCAAAGCGGTGGCGGGGCCGGTGGTCTTCTCCTCGGAGTGAAGGAATCCGAGGGCAGAGAAGGCGAGCTGAGCTTGCGGAGAGAGCCCCCGGAGCAGTCTGAGGGTGGGTCGACTATGAGGAAATCATCGGGGAGATGCAGACAGAGGGGAGCCGCGCGTAATTAAGCAGAATCCGACACGGCGCCTCCGAGAGATTGTTGAACGAGAGGGACTATTCCGGCAGTCAAAGGTGAGGCGCACTGAGAAGAAGAACTCTGACGCCACTTGACCCCTGAACAGCGCCAGTGGTCGGGGTGGATGGGCAGCAGCTCGAACGCGTCCGGGATGTCGGCCTTGGAGAGCCAGGAGCCGGGGCCGAAAGTCTTTATCAGCCTGATCGCGTGGTCCACGGTAGCGGACTGCAGGGAGAAGGGCGCTGGATGGAAGGGGCTGTTGATGCTCGGGCGGGCCCGGAGCGGGGACAGGAGAGGACGAGTATGAGATGCTTCTTCCTGGAGTGCTTGCGGGTGGCGATGCCCGTCGGGTTAGAGCGAGACGGAGAGAAGGGGCCAATGACGTAGCCCACGGACACCTCCCGCGCCCGAGCCGCGTGACGACTTGGGGCTCACGGAGAGCCGGGAAGAGGTTGCGGGACACGAGACGCTGAGGGACCTAAACAGAGCTTGCAGTCCAATGTGAGGGATTTAAACAGAGCTTGCAGTCCAAGTGAGGGGTTTAACTGAGAGCTTGCAGTCCAGTGTGAGGGATTCAACAGAGCCTGCAGTCCAAGAGAGGGATTAAAACTGAGCCCGCAGTCCAAGAGAGGGGTTTAAACTGAGAGCCTGCAGTCCACTGTGAAGGAGTTAAACAACTTGTAGTCCAAAGTGAGGGATTAATACTGAGAGCTTGTAGTCCAATGTGAGGGATTAAAACTGAGAGCTTGCAGTCCAATGTGAGGGATTAAAACGGAGCTTGTAGTCCGAGTGAGGGATTTAAACTTAGAGCCGCAGTCCAAGGAGGGATTAAAACAGAGCTTGTAGTCCAAGAGAGGGATTCAAAGAGAGAGCCGCAGTCCAAGAGAGAGGGCTTTAAACAGAGCTTGTAGTCCAAGAGAGGTTAAAGAGAGTCTGCAGACCAATGCGAGGGCTTTAAACTTAGAGCCGCAGTCCAAGGAGGGATTAAAACAGAGCTTGTAGTCCAAGAGAGGGATTCAAAGAGAGAGCCGCAGTCCAAGAGAGAGGGCTTTAAACAGAGCTTGTAGTCCAAGAGAGGTTAAAGAGAGTCTGCAGACCAATGCGAGGGCTTTAAACTGAGAGCTTGCACACCAATGCGCGGGGCCAACTGAGCCTGCAGTACAATGCGAGGGGAATAAACCGTCATACTTACCCACAACGCCAGAAGACAAGGAAAAAACAACGGGACCACACCGTACCGGCACAAGGAGGCAGGGATGCGCACGGCTCCCACCGCACCGGGCTAGACCGGCCGTATGCAGCAGCAGGCCGCGACGAGACGAGCAGCGGCGAACCTGCAGAAAGAGCCCGCAAAGGAGGAGAGCGGCAAAGACCCACGGACCACAGCACGAGACCCGCAGCAGGTGCAGCCACAGGAGGAGCAGACCACACGCAGCAAGACAGAGGACAGCAGGGACACGCACGAGTAAGCGTGAGTAGACAAAAGCGATTCCTCCAGAACGACTCTTTGCAAGGCTTCGAGAAGGCCGTGAAGTGGGAGTTTCTCCACTTTTAAGCGGCTGGCCTGGCCGGCATAGGTTGGTTGGAAATGGGCATTTGCTGCGATAGGCTGGGGCTGCGAGGCCGGCCTGGAAGGGGTGGCTTTGGCTGACGTCTTCCAGAATTGAATTTCCGCGAGGCTGCATTTCTACCTCACTGTTGCATCTCTCTTGGTTTTATGCACTTTTAAACCGAACTACACCTCAACCATTTTTATTAAAGGCCTATATTAAAAACAAAAGGATAAAAACAACAAAACTAAAAAAACATGAAAACCAATCCTTTGTGTTATTAGTCTGGACCAATGCAGATCTGGTCCTGGACGCTAATTAGCTTCTGTGCTAACTCCAGCATATTTAAGTTGACAGTTTGCCGACACATTGATTGATACGGTCTGTCCCAAAGTCAAAATAAATACATGAAGAATCTAAACTCTCAGCAGCGAAGACGCCATCTTTGAATAACTCTTTCCCGTTGCTCAGGTCTCTGCACGCTGGTGTCCGTGTCCTGGTACGCCACGCAGGTGTCTTATCAGTTCTTTAACCCCAACACTCCGGCCAACGCCAGGTCTGTGCTCATGATGCTCCTGTCCCTTTGTCTCTCTTTTCAAAGTGATATTTCCGCTGATCCGTGGGTGTTTCTCTGACCTCAGGTACGAGTTTGGGTCGGCCCTGTTCGTGGGCTGGGCGGCGGCCAGTCTGACCATCCTGGGCGGCTCCCTGCTCTGCTGCTCCTGCTCCAAAGAAGAAATGCGAGGGCAGCAATACTATCGCCAATCACAGCCCTCCACCACCAGGGAGTACGTGTAGCCCCGCCCCCAACACAGCAGCGGCCAATCAGAAAGCACAGCACATGTTTAATGCCAAAATCAACGACTAATATTGTCTTGTTAAGTTTTAGATTCAAATCAATTCAGTTCATTTTTGTATTGCTCTAAATCACAACAGTAGCTTTCTCAAAGGACTTAACAAACTGTGGATTCTCCAACACAGATCAGAGAATCAGACAGAGATAACAAACACATAGAGCCTTTGGTCCATAAGGAGCAGAGATCAATGTCCATAAATGTTGATGAAGCAGAATGTGAAAATAATATCTTGAGTTGAAAAACATGGTGAGACAAGTAAGAAGTCTCACTGAAGAAAAATGTTCTGCCTGCAACTCTCTGTGCCACCACCAGAGGGAGACCATTTATTTGACAATTATTAGCTGCAACTTCTGCTTTAAAGACAGTAAACTTAAGTTTAGACAGATAGACATTTGTCACTTACATTGTCAACAACACGATCAATAACATGCAGTGATATGAGACACAATGTGAAGGCGGTAAACCTGGAACTGACTATTTACATGAATAACACTTTAGGAGGATTTGCAGAGGATCTGATGGATTTAGGTGAAGTTTATATTTGGGTCACTGATGTTCTCTTTGATCAGTTTTCATGAAATCAGCCTTGGCTAAAAATGTAGAGTTTCACATGTTGATTGTGTGCACTTGTCCCTATCAAATAAACAAATAAATAAATAGAAATAGTTCCAGAGAGTTCTAGTTTTGAAGTCTAGCCTAACTGTTACTAGCCTAACTGTTACTAGCCTAACTGTTACTAGCCTAACTGTTACTAGCCTAACTGTTACTAGCCTAGCTGTTACTAGCCTAGCTGTTACTAGCCTAACTGTTACTAGCCTAACTGTTACTAGCCTAGCTGTTACTAGCCTAACTGTTTCTAGCCTAACTGTTACTAGCCTAACTGTTACTAGCCTAACTGTTACTAGTCTAACTGTTACTAGCCTAGCTGTTACTAGCCTAGCTGTTACTAGCCTAACTGTTACTAGCCTAACTGTTACTAGCCTAACTGTTACTAGCCTAACTGTTACTAGCCTAACTGTTACTAGCCTAACTGTTACTAGCCTAACTGTTACTAGCCTAGCTGTTACTAGCCTAACTGTTACTAGCCTAACTGTTACTAGCCTAACTGTTACTAGCCTAACTGTTACTAGCCTAACTGTTACTAGCCTAACTGTTACTAGCCTAGCTGTTACTAGCCTAACTGTTACTAGCCTAACTGTTACTAGCCTAACTGTTACTAGCCTAACTGTTACTAGCCTAACTGTTACTAGCCTAACTGTTACTAGCCTAGCTGTTACTAGCCTAACTGTTACTAGCCTAACTGTTACTAGCCTAACTGTTACTAGCCTAGCTGTTACTAGCCTAACTGTTACTAGCCTAGCTGTTACTAGCCTAACTGTTACTAGCCTAACTGTTACTAGCCTAACTGTTACTAGCCTAACTGTTACTAGCCTAACTGTTACTAGCCTAACTGTTACTAGCCTAACTGTTACTAGCCTAACTGTTACTAGCCTAACTGTTACTAGCCTAACTGTTACTAGCCTAGCTGTTACTAGCCTAACTGTTACTAGCCTAACTGTTACTAGCCTAACTGTTACTAGCCTAGCTGTTACTAGTCTAACTGTTACTAGCCTAACTGTTACTAGCCTAACTGTTACTAGCCTAACTGTTACTAGCCTAACTGTTACTAGCCTAGCTGTTACTAGCCTAACTGTTACTAGCCTAACTGTTACTAGCCTAACTGTTACTAGCCTAACTGTTACTAGCCTAACTGTTACTAGCCTAACTGTTACTAGCCTAACTGTTACTAGCCTAACTGTTACTAGCCTAACTGTTACTAGCCTAACTGTTACTAGCCTAACTGTTACTAGCCTAACTGTTACTAGCCTAACTGTTACTAGCCTAACTGTTACTAGCCTAACTGTTCTAGCCTAACTGTTACTAGCCTAACTGTTACTAGCCTAACTGTTACTAGCCTAACTGTTACTAGCCTAACTGTTACTAGCCTAACTGTACTAGCCTAACTGTTACTAGCCTAACTGTTACTAGCCTAACTGTTACTAGCCTAACTGTCACTAGCCTAACTGTTACTAGCCTAACTGTTACTAGCCTAACTGTTGCTAGCCTAACTGTTACTAGCCTAACTGTTACTAGCCTAACTGTTACTAGCCTAACTGTTACTAGCCTAACTGTTACTAGCCTAACTGTTACTAGCCTAACTGTTACTAGCCTAACTGTTACTAGCCTAACTGTTACTAGCCTAACTGTTACTAGCCTAACTGTTACTAGCCTAACTGTTACTAGCCTAACTGTTACTAGCCTAACTGTTACTAGCCTAACTGTTACTAGCCTAACTGTTACTAGCCTAACTGTTACTAGCCTAACTGTTACTAGCCTAACTGTTACTAGCCTAACTGTTACTAGCCTAACTGTTACTAGCCTAACTGTTACTAGCCTAACTGTTACTAGCCTAACTGTTACTAGCCTAACTGTTACTAGCCTAACTGTTACTAGCCTAACTGTTACTAGCCTAACTGTTACTAGCCTAACTGTTACTAGCCTAACTGTTACTAGCCTAACTGTTACTAGCCTAACTGTTACTAGCCTAACTGTTACTAGCCTAACTGTTACTAGCCTAACTGTTACTAGCCTAACTGTTACTAGCCTAACTGTTACTAGCCTAACTGTTACTAGCCTAACTGTTACTAGCCTAACTGTTACTAGCCTAACTGTTACTAGCCTAACTGTTACTAGCCTAACTGTTACTAGCCTAACTGTTACTAGCCTACTAGCCTAACTGTTACTAGCCTAACTGTTACTAGTCCTAACTGTTACTAGCCTAACTGTTACTAGCCTAACTGTTACTAGCCTAACTGTTACTAGCCTAACTGTTACTAGCCTAACTGTTACTAGTCTAACTGTTACTAGCCTAACTGTTACTAGCCTAACTGTTACTAGCCTAACTGTTACTAGCCTAACTGTTACTAGCCTAGCTGTTACTAGCCTAACTGTTACTAGCCTAACTGTTACTAGCCTAACTGTTACTAGCCTAACTGTTACTAGCCTAACTGTTACTAGCCTAACTGTTACTAGCCTAACTGTTACTAGCCTAACTGTTACTAGCCTAACTGTTACTAGCCTAACTGTTACTAGCCTAACTGTTACTAGCCTAACTGTTACTAGCCTAACTGTTACTAGCCTAACTGTTACTAGCCTAACTGTTACTAGCCTAACTGTTACTAGCCTAACTGTTACTAGCCTAACTGTTACTAGCCTAGCTGTTACTAGCCTAACTGTTACTAGCCTAGCTGTTACTAGCCTAACTGTTACTAGCCTAACTGTTACTAGCCTAGCTGTTACTAGCCTAACTGTTACTAGCCTAACTGTTACTAGCCTAACTGTTACTAGCCTAACTGTTACTAGCCTAACTGTTGCTAGCCTAACTGTTACTAGCCTAACTGTTACTAGCCTAACTGTCACTAGCTTAACTGTTACTAGCCTAGCTGTTACTAACCTAACTGTTACTAGTCTAACTGTTACTAGCCTAACTGTTACTAGCCTAACTGTTGCTAGCCTAGCTGTTACTAACCTAACTGTTACTAGCCTAGCTGTTACTAGCCTAGCTGTTACTAGCCTAACTGTTACTAGCCTAGCTGTTACTAGCCTAGCTGTTACTAGCCTAGCTGTTACTAGCCTAACTGTTACTAGCCTAACTGTTACTAGCCTAACTGTTACTAGCCTAACTGTTACTAGCCTAGCCACAGCACGGCAAAACCTTTGGGAACTATTTTATTTGGCCCGGTTCTTCCTGTTGGTACTTATTTTCTGATAATGACCTGCATTATCCGTCACTTATTGATAATAATAATAATAATAATAATGTTGCTCCCACACTCCACACAGAAACATGTTGTAATCTATTTTCTTATATAAAAACGACTCTATCTCTTTCAGCCTGTATCTTATTGTAAATAGTTGGAACTGTCCGAAGCTCGTCCGGTGCTTTCTGGTTGTCGCTGTTTTACGTGTTTATAATTCCATGACAGACACTGCTGCAGCAACGACGTGAAAAGAGAATAAACGCCACAGAATCAAACATTGTCACTATTTAAACTTTAAAGTGTCGTGTTTCTGCAGCGATTACGACGCAGCTGCAGCAGTGTCGACCTCAGATAGTTTGTGTGTGACATGAATTCGTCTCATTAAAATGTCTGTTTTTGTGTCATTGTGTGTAACATAAGTGTGTAACACAAGTGTGTAACATGTGTTTCCATCATGCAGCTAATCCTCTCCTCCATGCTAGTACGTTAGAAAACACATAACGCTAACGTCTCCTCGAGGACCCTACAGCAGGTCTGAATGAGCCTCTTCCACTTCACCTCCTACATCGGACTGAGGCTGTGGACCCAGGACTGAGGCTGTGGACCCAGGACTGAGGCTGTGGACCCAGGACTGAGGCTGTAGACCCAGGACTGAGGCTGTGGACCCAGGACTGAGGCTGTAGACCCAGGACTGAGGCTGTGGACCCAGGACTGAGGCTGTAGACCCAGGACTGAGGCTGTGGACCCAGGACTGAGGCTGTAGACCCAGGACTGAGGCTGTAGACCCAGGACTGAGGCTGTAGACCCAGGACTGAGGCTGTGGACCCAGGACTGAGGCTGTAGACCCAGGACTGAGGCTGTAGACCCAGGACTGAGGCTGTGGACCCAGGACTGAGGCTGTAGACCCAGGACTGAGGCTGTGGACCCAGGACTGAGGCTGTAGACCCAGGACTGAGGCTGTAGACCCAGGACTGAGGCTGTGGACCCAGGACTGAGGCTGTAGACCCAGGACTGAGGCTGTGGACCCAGGACTGAGGCTGTAGACCCAGGACTGAGGCTGTGGACCCAGGACTGAGGCTGTGGACCCAGGACTGAGGCTGTAGACCCAGGACTGAGGCTGTAGACCCAGGACTGAGGCTGT